AAAGAACAGAACAGGATATAAAGAAAACAAAACATATGTACAGGAGGAGCTGCCAACGCAAACACAACAGCAGTAACAGAGCGCGACGCTTCCAACCAGCGGCTCTGAGCCTGGAAGATTTAAAAGCAATTAAATTAGGATACAAACATCAGAAAGAAGGGGGGAATCTGCGGCGCCGCCCAGCCGCCCTCCTGCCATCCATCCCCTCCTGCCAACCCCTCCGAGCCGGGGGGTGTCGTGTCCCCCCCCCAACCTCCTCCCCACGGATGCTGTGGGGTGAAGGGCTGGGGGCGAGGAGCGGCCGTCGGGTTGCGGATGGGGTTGGAGGTGGGGAGGGGGGGGGGTTTGAAAGAAACCTGAATTGGTAACCGAGGTAGAGTTGGTGAGAACTGAGATTCCCCACCTGGCATTTCTGGAAGGGCCCCGCCGCCCCCCCGCCCCCACTGCGCCTTGTCTCAACGGAAGGGGACGCGCAGCCCTTTGAGTCTTCAAAAACACCAAGTTATTGCACTTCAAAAAGACAACAGGTTTGTGGTGCCAGCCCCCCCCCCCCCCCCCCCCCCCCCCCCCCCCCCCCCCCCCCCCCCCCCCCCCCCCCCCCCCCAACCATCCCATCCCCCCCCACCCCACCCCCGATGGCTTCTGCTCAACTAAAGGGGTCACTACGCACGATGCCTACGTTACCTGGGGTCGGGATGAAGGATGCAGGACGTGTCCTCGGACACGAGGTGCAGAGCTGCTCCAGCTCCTATCTAGAACAGTGCGCTTCCACCCAAACCTCTCCCCCTTCACCCCCCACCCCTACCAAACCCCTCTATGCTGGGTGATACAAACCCCCCCCCCTTCCCCCCCCAACCCTCTCTCCTCCTTCCCTCCCCCCACCCCCTCTCCCTCCCCACGTGTCCGGCAGAACTCGAGATACTCAAGGAATGGTTAATTAACGAGACGATCAAGATGCACACAGCTTTGGAGATGCGTGGGGCCGTGCTGGGGGGCAGCAGGGCGGGAGCTGCAGCCCCAGCCGTGGGTTAAGACACTTTCCTTGCTTCAGAGTCCGGTTCGGGGTCGGGCCTGGAGTTGGGCTGGTTTTCCAACCAAGAAGCAGCTCAGTGGTTGCGGGGTTTTTGTTTGTTTGTTTTTCTCTTGTTTTAATGGTTAATTCGGAATAGGAAAGTCAGAGATGGGGGAGGATGGGAGATGAGGTGGGAGACGATGCTCTCCCCCCCCCTCCAGTTTCAGCACCAGAGTATTCAAGTCTGTCCGTTCTGAGATTCAGAGCTGCTTCCACAGTCAGCAGGCAGAAACCAAACCCTTCTCGTAAGAGCAGCGCCGTTTTGGTTGGGGTCCCTCATCGTCGTCGTCTTCCTCCTCATCCTCCTCCTCCTCCTCCTCCGACGATGAGCTGTCCAGTGTTAAATCCACCACATCAGCAGCAGCTTTGCCATTCTCACCGTTAGCGTTCGGAGGGGGCAGCAGCCCGTTCACATCCGAAGAACCTGAAGGCGATCAGGGAAGAGAGGACTAATTAAGGCCTCCGCTAATTAATGCGTGGCTCAGGGGATGGCAGGAGGGTGTGTGAAAGCCTCTGCAGCACGGGGTACTCACCCAGCACCAGGATGGGGCACTGCGGGCTGCAGCTGCGCTCCTTCTCGGCTCGGATGGGGCACCACGAGCCATCCACCAGGTACTCGATCTCATCCGCATCCTCACACTCAGTCAGGATCTTGGACAGCAGCCTGGGTGGGAGGAAGGGCCCCGTGGGTCTGGGTTGGCCAGCAAGGAGTCAATGCTCTGCACTGCATCGCCTCAGAGCTCACAGCAGCGCCCTGCCCTGCGCTGACAGCATCGCCACTCACAGCTATGAACCAGCAGGTGCAATGAGATGAGCATCTCACCTCTGAAGAGGCTCCCAGGCAGGCACCCCAGACCCCACTGAGGCCAAATGTGGGCTGGCAGCTCCCTGAGGAACCACACACCCTCACACTGCCCCACTGATCCCACGCACAGCACTCTGCTCCTATTTTCACTCCCCGCAGCCACTGCAGCAGCCACCCACCTCCACAATGGCATTCTGCAGCACGAGGAGCAGCTCAGCCCCACAGGACCCCCAGTGCCAGCACACACAGCCCTGTGGGCAGCCCCACTGCTCAGCACAGCCACCTACACCGCAGTTACCAACACGGAGCCCCAACCACGGGATGAGAGCAGCCCTTACAGACACAGCAGGGCTCAGAGCACTGCCAGCACAGCCATGGGAACAGCCCTGGGCCGACCCACTGCTCAGCTCCACACACCACGTGCCATCCCCAGCACTGCAGCGATGCCACACTAAAGGTCAATTACACAGCTGCGTGATCCCAGCCCACAGATCAGCAGAGAGCTGTGCCCACCGCGCTGCTCCACCGCCTTCCTTCACTCCCAGATGGGAGCCAGGCCTCCACGCAGCTCCGCTCTGCTCTCTGCAGGTGGCTCTGTCACCAGGAGGGGGAGAACTGCTGCTGCAGAGCAGCGCTGGGCACACGCGGCAGCCTGGCTGCAGCACTGAGCACCTCCAGGCACTGCTGCTGTGCCCACAGGAGCACCCAGCTCACCTCACACCTCGGGAGAACCAAAGCTTTCATCGGTAGAAAGCAAGCAGACAACTCTGGTGCAGAGATACAGGGAGCAGCACTCCCACACAGACCGAGATGAGGGTTGTGTGGCAGGGCTGGAGCTGCCCCTGCCAAACTCACAGCCACAGAACTGACAGGGCTCAGCACAGGCGTTTCTTGCCTCGCTCTTATCCAAACATGCTTTGCAATCTGCTGCTCCAATTCCCTGCAACGCTTCCACAGCACCACACAGAAGAGAGAGATAACGTTCCTGATGCAAACACTGCACCTGCACTTCTGCCTCAGGGACTGCATGTTGGGAGGTGTTTGCTTTAGAAGCTGGCAGAGATCCCCCCAGCCAAGCTCCCAGCGTGGCAAGCGCTGCCTGCTCACACCAGCAAGAGAAAAGGAAGATGGTTCCTATCAAAAATCACCTTATCGTGTGCTTATAAAGTGGGTTTATTCCATGCAGCGTGACATCTGTCAGCCAGGGCAGCCAATTGTGCAGGTTCATCAGAGTGAGGCAGTAAACGCTCGATGCTCGTAAGGCTTTATGGTAATCCTAAAATCAAGAAGGGCAGACCAACAAACCTTGCTCCAGCACACCAACACAAGCAGTCAGGGCACAATGCACGAGCAGGATACGCTTCCAGCTTCGCTCCGATGCAGGCTCCAGAAGGGCAGACCACAAAACAAGATGCTTCACCCAGCAGAGAAACACCAGGGCCGAGGACAGCAGCAAACACACTCACCCATCAATTATCAGCTGGTCGTAGGGCGCGGGTTTGTCACACACAGGACACATCCACGTGGGCTTCTTCTCGTTCATCTGAAGGTAGAAGACTGCGTCGAAGCACTGCAGGTGTGCACAGGTCTCAGCCCGGCACGGCACAGACAGCCGCATCTTCACCAGCTGTGGGAGCAGGGCAGAGGTGAGCAGCAGGGCTGAGCTCACAGCCAGCACTGCGCCCCATCCAGCACAGCAGCTCTGCTGCACACGGCTGGATTGGGTTTCTGGATGAAAGCACACTTAGGAGGTTCTGCAGAGACTCACCGGGCAGATGAGAGACACGCGAACGCCCGTGGTGGCGATTTCACTGTCTGGGTCCAAGCGTAGCTTCTCTTTTACTGCAGGAACAGCAAAGGGCAACAAAATTAACAGAAGCAAACTTCAACATGGAGACAACCCGCAGTGCAGGGTGAGGAGCTCTCAGAGGCAGAGAGAATGGCACAGCACTGCAGCAGCCACGCACGGCTCAGCACTGCAGCACGCAGGCTGCAGGCCAGCTGGAGCATCCATTCACCTGGCAGGAAAGCTTTTTCCTGCAGCCCACAGCCTCAGGGGCCACCCCCCTTTCCCACAGCCCTGCCTTCCCAGCCGGCAGCAGCCTACTGTCACCATCCCTGTGCTGGTGGGGAGCAAAAAGATGGAGAGAAAGAGCCACACCACCTAGAAAGAAGCTCATTAATCCATTGATTTATCTGGTCGTTAGCACGAGCAGGATGAACTCCATTCCCTTCCAGGATGGGTGGCAACAGGATGGGATGCACTGCATCCCTCTGACCCCTGAAATTCTGAGGAAGATCCCACAAATGCAGCCCAAGCGTCAGAGAGCCACCCAACTTCATTTCCCCATTGGTCACATCTCAGCATTCCTGGGTGCTGCTCCTCAGTTCAAGCACTGAGCAGCTCAGGAAGGGCAGCAGATGTGCATGAACCACATGGGAAAATCTGCCTCAAGGTGCAGAACCAACCTGAGATTAAACCACACGACTCCTGAAGAACAGCAGCTGCTGGCAGCACTGAATGCCAAGGGCATTTCCACCAGCCAACTTCTCTGCAGCACATCCCCCCTTTACCCTGACCTCCCAGATCACAACAGGAGCTCTCCAGACCATGAGGCTCTCTAATCAGAGCACAACTTCTCAATGCAGCACTCCCAGGAGACAAGAAGACTGGGTGCTGCTTTGGTGTCAGGTGATCCATCCAAGATCAACTGGCACAGAGCTGCAGCATTTTTGTTTTTTTGGTTGTTTTTTTTCTTTTTGGTAAGAGCTTTCTTTGTGACTGCAACCTCCAAGCTATCTTCACAGTGATGCTTCCTGCAGCTGCTAAGAGCTGTCCATGCTCTGAATAGCACAATTTAAAGTCTGCTGTGATCCAGTGTTGCTTCTCTTACACAGAACTGAACACTAACAGCAGTCCATCCAGTGACAACAAGCAACTTGGAATCCTCCAGGCTCTCAGATGCTGCAAATCAGATTCTGCCTTGAAAAGGTGATTTCCCTTCACATTTTTTCCACGCTGCTCTCCGTGTGCCTCATACCAGCATTTACCTGAGCAGCCCAGGACAAGCATCTGTTGGGATCATCTCTTCTCTGAAGCTCACAGCACATGTGAAAGCTGTGGTGCTGAAACCAGGAACCCTGGGGCGGGCAGAATTATGTTTCCACCAGGATCCCTCTCTCCAGAAGTCTCCTTTGGGCTCAATGTGGGTCAGGGCTGAGGTGCTGCAGTGACATCCCTCAGCTCAAGGCAATCAGAGGAAGGCACGAGGCTGCTCAGAATGATGCTGACCCCCAGCAGTGCTCACAACATAACCTAAAGACAAACCCTAAACACCACTGTGTGACTCAGAGCCTCTGCACAAGGATTTGGGGGCAATTTCCCATGATTAACAAACATCTTCGTGAGCCTGTTCAAATAAGAAGTGTTTTATATGACCGGAGGGAAGAAATGGTACAAAACTCAGCTCTCACACACGTTTCTAGCAGCCTGGCTGCCAGAAATGCCCACCAGGTAGGCACACATTGAGCCCCCCCCACCCAGAAATACTCACCCAGTGCTTTGCAGAGCTCTGGATGTTTGATCCCAATGGTTTTCAACCTCTGCAGCAGCTCCGCTGAGGTCATCTGCCGCACTAAGTACAGCCCCACGGAATAGCTCTGAGGATAGGAGGAAGGGAAGAGCTGAGCAGGGGGCTCTCCTGCACCCCCCATGCAGCCCTGTGTGCCTCCCCATGGCACCTACCTTCCCGTAGTTCCCCCAGGTGACGGTGATACGATTGGTGGCCGCAGACAAATACATGAGATGGGTGAGGTTGATGGGACGGCAGGGCCTCTTGGGTTCCACCCCGGGTTTGTTTGATGGGTAGTAGCCCTAAAGTGGAAAGATTTGTGTTGTTTAAATGCTGCAGATGCTGCTGGGGAGGAACACCCACACATCAGCCTCACTGCCTTCTAACCCAGCCATGGTTTTCAAGGAAGAGGGAGAAGGGAGCTGAGCGGTGCGACCCAGCACAAAGCGAAAAGGAGACTTTGCAGGAGCACTTTATTAACAGTAACCCATCTGAAAGTTAAATTGGTAACTTCTGTACTCTGGCTTCTTGTCTGCACTCAGCAGGAGTAACACTTGCACGAGTCCTGGTGCCTCCCAGCCCAGCTGGCTTACCGGCACAGAGCAGTAACTGTGGTTCACTTTCACGGCGATGTTGGGGGGGTACTGATCCTCCTGGGGAGAACTGGTGTCTGTGTAACAGATCCTGCAAAAAAACCCAAACACACAGCTCCTAAAATGCCTGTCCTGGTTCACTGTTCAAAGATCTACACGCCAACCAGCAGCCAACCATCATCTGCCAACCCACATTCCCTCCTCTGCCCACACCGAAGGCCAAACCAAGGGCAGGACCTCTGCAATTCGGGTCCTGGATAGTGATAGGACAAGGGGGGATGGTCTTAAACTGAGACAGGGGAGGTTTAGGTTGGATATGAGGAGGAAGTTTTTCACACAGAGGGTGGTGAGGCACTGGAACAGGTTGCCCAAGGAGGCTGTGGATGCCCCATCCCTGCAAGGCCAGACTGGATGTGGCTCTGGGCAGCCTGGGCTGCTGGTTGGCAACCTGCACATAGCAGGGGGTTGGGACTGGATGAGCAGTGGGGGCCTTTGCAACCCAGGCCTTTCTGTGATTCTATGGAAATGGGATGCACTGCTGTTTGCTGTTGACTCAGGTGGCATAGCAGGAAGCTGTCAGAAAGCTGAAGATGCTTGCATGAGGTGTGCCAGCAGCCAGCTTGCTCTAACTCCTCTTTCCAGCTATGAATATCACCACCCTGCAACTCATTGCACCCAGTGATGTGTTCCCCACCTCCCCCTGCAGCATCTCATCTTAAATCCACACTCAGACATACCTGAGCACCACCTGAACTGATTTCACACCGGGCTGCAACTCCCTGGGAAAGCAAGGAAGAAGAACTTACATAAAGAAAAGCTCAAACCAGCTGTCCCATTTACCAGACGTAAAGGTTAGAGAATCAATCTTTAAACCAATCTAAAAATCAGTCTTTAAATAATTACGTCCCAGAGTTTTATATAAATTGCTCAGCTCACTCTGCAGCCATCTATCTGTCCTGTGTGCTTTTGTTTTGTGATCTGGCACCCTGCAGCCTCACAGTGAGTTTTCAAAGCTGTACAAACATTGCAGGAAGGACACTGGTTCTCCTGGCATTTTTTTCTGCTGTGTGTCAGCATTTAGAGGACCCAGGTCTCAGGTAGGGTCTGACTGCACTCCTCCAAGATTCTGCTTACTTATTCAACTAAATATTCTTGTTGTAGGGGTGGAGGGGATGGAAGCTGAGCTCATGTGGTGGTTCTGGATCCACGTGGGTACAAGTGGGGCACTGCCACAGCAGTGCAAGAGACGGGCTGATCCTCACAGACACCCCCTGAAGCCACTGCTGCAAAACTACTGTGCTTATGTATGACTGATGGTGAAAATTCTCTTCATCTATTTGGATTTGTGAGCAAAGGGCAGTAAGGATCAGCTTCGTGCAGGGGGGAGAGGCGGCACAGAGGAAGCACTGGGCTGCAATCTCTCCAGATAAGAGCACCCAGGGAGGAGCACCTGGAGTTCCGGATCAGCTCCACTTGTCTCGGCGTCAACGCGAAAATGCACGGGCTTTCCTGGAGCTTCTCATTGTTCTGTGGAACTGAAGAGGAGAAAAGAAACACGTCAGTCTGACGGCAGCTCCTCTGACACTGCTTGCTGATCTGAGCCGTGTTGTTGTCTGAGTCTTCTCGGCCTCCATCTGCCACCAACAAATGAACTCGGAACGAAAAGCAGCAGCACAGGAGCAGCTCTCAGAGGCAGTGCTGTAGGCAGGATGACCCAGCAGGAACGCTCAGCCCGGGAGCCAGCATTAACTGCCCTCCTCTCTAACCCTCATTTTAAGATGAAATGCCTTCAGTCTGCTAAAAATTAAGCCTGAGATGTGGGAACTCAAGGCTTATTACCTCAGGTTAAATGCCAACGTGCTACAGTTTGCTGTCACAGGTAACACACAGAGCAGGAAGCAACACAACTGCCTGCTTCCCCTTTCCTCATGTGCCTTCCCTAACCACCTCAGTCACTGCTGGTTTATTCAAAGGCAAAACACCTGGATTTGAGATGTGGGAAAAGGTGCCTTTCTGCCCAGTAGTAAAAACGAGATGAAGGAAGGAGAAAAGCCCAGCAGCTCTCAGATCCTGACAGATGTGGATTTGCTGCTTCCATCTGCTGCCCTTCTATAATTCAGCTTTAGAAACACAAAAAGGACATTCAGAATAAATAATGTTAAGATATCCTTATAGACTTAGGGAATCATGGTCTGTCATCTAAACACCTCCAGACCGGTGAGCAAAGCCCTTCCAACGCACTGCAACACCCAACGCTTCCCAACAAAGGCAAACAGGTTGATTCAATATCATAAATCTGTCCCTTATGGACCCTCCTCTCTGGGAGAGCTGAGGGCACTTCTGCACTCACAGCAACCTGCTGCAGCTTCACCTGGAGGGAACACAGCCACCCCAAAGACAGCTGCTGCCTGCTGGCACCTCTCTGCCACAGCAAAGCGCTGCAGGGATAAAGCAGGAAGGAAGGTCCCCAGCAGAGCAGGAGGAGAACTGCCCCAAGGCAGAGCTGGGCAGTGATCCCACGTCCTTTCCAAGCCCCAACCCTGGAGCTGAGCTCCCACTGCAGCAGCTGTGCTTTTCAGGGCACCTCAGCTGCTGTTCTATCTTCACTGAGCAGCCAGGGGAAAAAAGCACAGGCTTTTAAGGCTGCAGATCTCCAGGTGACTGAGTTCCATCCTTTCTCTGGAACAGATGCTGCTGCATTGCAACTCTGTGCCTGGGCTCGTATGGCTGCTGCTGCCATCAGTTCATTACAACAGCAGGAAATCGATTTTTAAGACAGAGCTCAACCAGCAACCTTCAGAAGGAGCCCAGACATAAAGCTGCTGAAGCCCAGAAGGACTCTGCAAACCGTCCTTGGGAGCTGAGCCCACAGACAACACTGAAATCGACTGAAACTGCGTGTGGTTACGGTGAGGAAGGAGCTGTTTGCAATGGACCTCACTTGTTTGCTGTGGGCTGAAGCCTGCAGGTGTGAGAGTGATGTGACCCCTCCTCAGGGAAGGCCCTCACCCACAAACCAAGCTCAGCATCAGCCTCGAGGCGATCATCTCCAAGGAGCAAACAAGCTTTTAATTAACAAATATGCTTCCAACCCACGTCAGGAATGTACAAATTAGGCTTCCTTCACTCCCACTGTGGCTACAAAGCCTCCTGCAGCCCAGGGAAGGGTGCTGCTCCCACAGCAGCTGGGTGTTTTCCTACAGAGAAAGCTCCTCCATGCACTCAGTCCCAGGCCACAGGCTGGGGCTGACCCACAGCCCATGCTGAGTGCAGAGCTGGGATGCTGAGGGCTGAACCCAACCACTCAGCTCCCAGCCCCAAAGGTTGTTCAGGAAATGCTCTCATCAAAGGGAAATTTGTCACAGCCACCCTAGGGAGTGCACCAACCTGAGGGAGGCATCAGCTAACATGCAGGTGTGTTACTGCATGTCATGAGACTTCACTTCTCACTCAGCAAAGCAAATCTGATGTCAACTTTTAATAAGAATTTATTCATCACAGTAAGCATATCCCTGCTCCTCTCCTATCTCTAGATGGCTCCACTTCTTTATGATTACTTCTCTTCAAAATCTTGCATTCCTGACTAATGCATGCCATCCCACACTCAGGGCTGAATTAAACCATCCCCTGAGCAGCACTGAGAGCAACACTTCAGCTTCCCAGTCATCAGCTCACTATCAAAGTCACAGCATGAACACAATACCTCCCCAAAAAAGGTGAAAATCACATCAAGCCTGATGAATTTGTATTTAAAGAAGGAAAAAACCCACCAACGTGAGTGGTTAAATAGGCTGCAGGCCTGCTTACCAGTAACAGAACCAGGGTGAACAGGTGGAGGCAGGCAGCACTACATGCAAAAGGTAATGAACATCTGGTGTGAGTTATGAGGGGAGACAACGATGAAGGGTGTGTGGGAGGGACACCCAAACCAGCTAATGAGGCAGAAAATGGAAAAGTCTGATTAAAACAAAAAAAAAAGCAGAAAGATGCAATTCAGAAGTGATGGAAGACACACAGGCACATCTCACACCCCTGCATTTCCAGCACAGCCCAACACCACGCCACCACTGTGATGTCACTGTGATCTCAGATCAGCTCCCTGAGCTCTGGGCTCACCCAGCAGTGAGGCCTGAACAGCTTCACTCTCTTTAGGAGACACTGAGGCTAAGCAAAGAACAACAACAGTGTAATCCCTGCAGATCAACCTCCCCAGAGCCCAGGACAGTGCTCAGGATCTGAATGAAAGTCAAACAAAGCAGATTCCCACCCCACAGTGGGAGAAAAAGCTCCCCACAGCTCCCCAGCTTCCCTGGCTGCTCCTCCAGACACAGCAGCACACGCAAGGCAAAATGAAGAGGTCAGAAATGGCACCAGATGTGCTCATTCAGCCATGGGGGGCTCCAGGTTGGCTGTGCTCAGCACTGACAAATAACACCAGTGTGGAGCATGGCACAAATAGACTTGCTCAGCTCGGATGCAACACCAACACAGAGTTTAATGGACAGACTGACACATTACAGGGAGAGAAAACAGATGGTGGTCCATAATGCAGCATTAGGAAGGGTAGAAAGCTACAGCCAATGGGACAGGCTTGCAAGTTATATCTCCATGCAAGTGTGCTCTTGTTCTAAGGGAAGGGAGGGAAATAATGACTGGTTACAAGGGTAGATAGTGATAGGACAAGGGGGAATGGCTTTAAACTGAGACAGGGGAGGTTCAGGTTGGATATTAGGAGGAAGTTTTTCCACACAGAGGGAGGTGATGCATTGAAACGGGTTGCCCAAGGAGGCTGTGGATGCCCCAGCCCTGCAGGCATTCAAGGCCAGGCTGGATGTGGCTCTGGGCAGCCTGGGCTGCTGGTTGGTGACCTGCACACAGCAGGGGGCTGGAACTGGATGAGCACTGTGGTTCTTTTCAACCAAGGCCATTCTAGGATTCTATGCTGATTCCATGGCACCCTGTGGGTTCTCTGGGCAGCCTGGTCTGGTGGCTGGTGACCCTGCACATAGCAGAGGGTTGAAAACATTTGATCATTGTGGTCCTTTCCAACGCAGGCCATTCTATGGTTCTATATTCTACACACTTCAAGTACCAGGGAGGAAACAAAAGCAGGGAAAGCGGACATCCACCACTGTGTGCACAGCCTGCTGTTCACAGAGCCTTGAAAAAGCCCATTTTCAACCCCTTGACAAACCAATCTTTTGGACACTCAAACTTATTTCACTCCTTTCTGCCAGCCCAAACCCAGCAGTAACACACAGAAAACTCACCGAGCTCCGTGGGCTTCAGCAGCTCATCCAGGGTGGTGTAGAAGGGGAGCTTCACCAAGCGGACTTCAGGCTTCACAGCTTTGGGGGGCAACCTGCCCAGTCCGTTCAGGTACTTCCCATAGAGCGTGGGATAGTCAATGTTGGGGGTGGAGAGAGAAGTCCGAGCCACGGCGCTCCCGCGGTCGTATGAAGAATGAATGGGGAGAGCCTCGGGGGAGCGGGGCGGCTGCGGGGCCTCGGAGCTTTTCTTGGCATAACGGGTCTCGTAGAGCTCCTTGATCTTCTTGAAAACCTCAGGGCTGCAGTCAAATTGGACCAGCTGCAGTGCTCTGGTGACTAGTTCGTGTTTAAGTCCGCTTTTACTCCTGCCAACAAAACCCAGCAACATCTGAAGATCTGAGACTCGGAAACTCATCACCATGTTCTAGGGGATAAAAAAATTAAAGATGTTCTTACAGTGAAAGGAAGGCAAAGTGACAGTTCTTACTGTTCTCTATGAGTCAGAACCCACCGCCCCACCCAGACCAGAGAATACCTCCACAAAGTGATAAACACCAAACCATCATTCTGATAGGAGCAACGGTGAGCACACGGGAGAAAGCTCAAACACACATCAGTGCAGCCCACTGCATCAACACCATGCAGGAGCTCAAAGCTTCTGAGCTTCCCTGCATCTCTGGGTAACATGAAGGGTTTAAAGAGCCAAAAAAAAAGAAAAAGGGGAAAAACACCAGCTGGAAAGCAGACATCACTGAAGTGGGGCTGCCAGTCCTTCAGTGCACCTATCTGCTGTTTTACAGACAAAACAAACTCTCTAGAACTCTTCTTATACGTGCAGAACTTTAAGAAAACAAGAAGTATGTATATTTTCAGCTATGGGAAGAGAAGACTGAAGGGAGCAATGCGTTCCCATGAGAACAATGCCTGCAGGCTGCAGGCGGGGGCTTTGCCAAGCACTCCCCCACGCTCACAGCCAGCACCAGGGCTGCTGCTGGGGATGTCAGCACTTTGATAAGCAGTGAAAACCAGCCCTACCTTCACAAATGTATTCTGCTGCTGCTGTGGGAGCTCAGGAGGCCTGGAACCATCAGCAGGTTCAAAGAAAGTTCAATGCTATATCAGAATAGGAGCTAGAAGTGGGCTCTGCTGAAAGCAGTGATACAGTCAGATGGACGTCATGCTTCTCTTGCATGGCAAAGGGCCATCAAGCCTATAAAGCAGGTTTTTGTGAAGATTCAAGCTGCCCTGAGAGTGTACTTGATAGGCACCCACCTCAGCATCCTTCCTAGTTAGTGGAAAACAAGAACTCAGCCATCCCAAAGCAAAGAGCAGCAGCTGTGATAGAACAGCTCTCCGCTCTCCCAAAAGGAGAGGGAAGGAAGGCAGACAAGAGGAGAGAAGGATGCTTAATTGCTATAACGACACAAGAGATGTGGATTCACACTGCTGCTTTGCCAGGCACCACCTGCATGACCCTGGAGGGATTTAGTTTGTGTCTCAGAATGGTACAAAACAGAGTGTGTGTTGTCTTCACTGGGGCACATCAAGGATAAACACATATCTGCAAAGATAAACACAGCCACAGCAGTGCTCCTACACTCACTGCTCCCACAGCACCACTCACTTGGCACTTTTGGTGCAGAACCAACAGCCTTCGGGATTGGAACCCAGGATCCGTGCTGCTGCAGAGCAAGTCTCATTAAAAAACAACAACGTGTCATTGAGGGATCTGTACGAAGTGCTGAGATCCCTGAGCTCAGCTCCTCCCTGGGTCTGAGCACCAGCTGTGCTCCAGTGGTAAGCAGGCAGCAAACCTCCTGCAGAGGGGTCCTGAGCCCACAGCAATGAAGAGGGGCCGAATCACTGACAGATGGGGACCAGAGGGGTTGTTAAAACGTATCCCTGCTCATTAGCAGGTGTGAAGCACTTCCAATCCACAGGAGATGCTGGGCTGCACTGACACACAGCTGTGCAAATCCACACCCACAGGGATCACACAGAACGGAGCCCCCCACTACAAACTGCTGCACCCACAGAGCCCAGAGTGCCACACAAACCCCCTATGGGTGCCACAATCACAGCTCAACGCTGGGGGGAGTTCAGGAGCTCCACAGGCCCCCTCCCCAATGCACTAAAGGGACACAGGTTGGGGGGGCTCACATGGGCCGCTCCCCTCCCCCATCGCTGGGAGATCCCCCCCCCAGCACCCCACAAACCAACACCTGCCCCTTGACACCCACAGGAACCCCACAGAACGGAGAGAACGGAGCCCCCCACTACAAACTGCTGCACCCACAGAGCCCAGAGTGCCACACAAATCCCCTATGGGTGCCACAATCACAGCTCAACGCTGGGGGGTGGGTTCAGGAGCCCCCCCAGTCCCCCAATACACTGAAGGGACACAGGTTGGGGGGGGCTCATATGGGCCCCTTCCCCATCGCTGGGAGATTCCCCCCCCAGCACCCCACAGACCAACACCTGCCCCTTGACACCCACAGGAACCCCACAGAACGGAGCCCCCCCACTACAAACTGCTGCACCCAGAGCCCAGAGTGCCACACAAACCCCCAATGGGCGCCACAATCACAGCTCAATGCTGAGGAGGGGGGTTCAGGAGCCCCCCCAGTACGCTGAAGGGACACAGGTTGGGAGGGGCTCACATGGGGGGCTCACACGGGCCGCTCCCCTCCCCCATCGCTGGGAGATCCCCCCCCAGCACCTCCAGCGCCCCACAGACCAACACCAGTCCCTTGGGGGGGGGGTGTGAGGGCCGCACAGCCGCTCCCTCTGACAGCAGATGGAGAATGGAGGAAAGCCCCGAGCGCCGACGAACGGCTGCGAGCAGCTCCGGGAGCGGTGAGGGCCGCGGCGAGGCCTGAAGGCCCGCACGGGGTGGGGCGGCCCTGAGGTGAAGCGGGAGAACGAGCCGGGGGGGCGGAGAGGAGAGGTGGCGGTGGGGGGGGCGGTCCCGGGGTGCCGCCCCCCGGCCCTCACCCGCAGAACCGCACCGCCCGCCGCCGGCTCCGAGCCGCGGAGGAGCCGCCGCTCAGCCCTCGGCCCGCTCCCGCCTCGCCCGGCCTCGCCGTGCCGCCGGCGCCGCCGCCGCTCACTCACTTTCGCCTCCACCAGCTCCGCCGCCATCTTGGCCTCCAGCGTCCACCGCGCCGGGAGCCGCCGCCGGGTCACGTGACGCCTGGCGGCGAGGGGAGGGGCGCGCGGGAGACACGCGCCGTCCAATCCGCGTTCGCGCTTCTCTCCTCGGAGGCCGCCGCCGCATCGCGCAGGCGCGATAGCGCCGCCCCGCCCCCGCCTTCCGGGGGCCTTAAAGGGACCGCGCCCGAAAAACGGGAGGAGAGGCGGCTGTGAGGATGGAGGCCTGCGGGGCCGGGAATGCAGCGAGCAAATGGCAGCGCGGTGCGGGGCGGACCAGGCCCGCCTAGGGGTCGCGGCCAGTGCCCCTAAAACGGCCCCGGGCCTACACTAGTGGGCCCCGGCCTACCCTTATTGCTGGGCTTGGGTCTAAGGCCTGGTGGGGGGGGCAGGGAAGGGATGCTCCTTGGTTCTGCTCCTGACGGGCTTCGCTGGGGTCTGCGGCCTTTGGAGCTTATTCGGGGTGCCAGGAGCCTTGGAAGCAGTGCTGTGCTGCCCGGTGAGGAAATAAGGCTTTCAGTACGTTTTCCTTTTCCTTGGAAAGGCCTGAGATGGAGGAGCAGCGGATCTGATCGCGTGGGTTTTGCTGGGAGGCGCTTTTGGGGAGCTGAGAGCTGAAGGACGGAGGGTAAAAGCAAAACGTCCGTCCTTCAGACGTGTGCCAGGCACGCGGCGGTGCCCAGCCCTGGGCTGAGGGCTGCAGGGAGAGCTACAAGGACAGGACGTGAGTGGTTGGGGTGAAGCTGGATGCAGTGGAGCTGCTCGTCCTGCAGGTGAAGCACGCCGGGGCTGTGACAGCTCCTCGTGTATCGATGGCAGCGGTGTTACACAACCGGGGCAGCCCTGAGGGTGGTCTCTCGGAGAACACGGAGCTTCTCCCAGCGCTTTCTCTCTCCTCGATGTCAGCCCCGTAAGCTAATTAAGCAAAAAGATAATTAGCCAGTTTTCCAGGCAGGACAGCGTGTCAGTCACACTGCTCAGTGTGCTCTCTGGGAAAAGCCAGCATCAGTGCTAGAAACTCAAATGGCTGCTGTAGCAACGCCAGCAGCTGATAACTCGTGCTGTCACGGGGAAGGGGCAGACACAGCGCCCCCGAGGCCGGGCAGTCCCTGCTGCACCCACTGTTGTCCCCATGGATGGGGCAGGGAGACAGCATGCTGCAGGCTTGGGAGAGCTCTGTTTCACTGCAGATGGAAACGGAGCCGCGGCGTCCTGCGGGGCTGATGAGGAGGAAGAAACGGCAGCGAAGGACTCGCGGTGTGGAGATGGAGAGCGATGTTCCGCCGCAGCCCTGCTTGGATCCTCTCTTTGCTGGTCCACGACGGAGCGCCCCGGGCTGCGCGCTGTGCCGCGCCGGACCTCGGGCACCGCGCTCCTCCCCGCCCGCAGGGGGCGCTGGTGAGCCCCGTGCCCTCCCCTGTGCCGGCCGGCGCATGCGCAACTGGGCCGGGGACGCCGAGAGGGGCGGGGCTCGCCCACACCCCGGCACGGTCCCACTGCGGCCAGGGCCGCGCCCCGCGGTGCCCGGCACAGCGCTGCTGACAGAGGCGGAGGCACGCTCGTGGCCTTGGGGAGCGCCCCGAGTACATTCTCCGGCTCGTTCCCGCGGTGGCCGCGTCGTTTTTGCTGCGGGTTCTGAGCGGGGACTGCGTGGAGCCCGGCTGCGGCCCTTGGAGGACTTCACCGCCCGACCATAGAGCTGCCGGCAGCACGGTGCTAGAGAGGCACGTCTGCGCACGCGCACGCGCAGGCTCCTCCCCCCGGCCGGCGCTGCCCTATAAAAGGGGGGCGGTTGACGTCAGCGTTCTCTTCCGCCCGCTCTGCGCTCGCCAGCGAGACAGGGCCGCCGCCGCCGCCGCCATTGCTGTACCCCCCCGCCCCGGAGAATCCACCTCCATCCGCCACCATGGTGAGGCCCCGCGTCCCGCCGCCGTTCGAGGGGAGCTGAGCGGGTCCTGCGTGGGCCGTGCGGGCGGGGATGTCCGCTCCGGGAGGGCTGCGGGGCTTCCGCTGCGGGGCGAGGCCTGGCGCTGCGGCCCGGGCCGCTGTGAGGGGAGAGGGGTGGGGCCGGGGCCGGGGCCTGGCGCGGCCGTGGGGCGTCGTTAACCCGGAGCTCCGCGGCGGCCGGCGGTGCGGCGTTGCGGTGCGGCTGCCGGAGCGCTTACGTAACGCTGCAGCTCCGCGGTGCGGGGCTCCCCTGAGCGGGGGGTGAGGATGGAGGGCGGCCCGCTGCACGCGCGGCGCTGTCAGTGTGGCGCGGCCTTGAGGACGCGTTGCTGGCTGCCGTGCCGCAGGCCCGGCCCTCTCTGCGGTGCCCTCGCCGCTTTTGCAGCTTGCTGTTTTGTGAGGTTAAACCTGACAGTGCCACGTATGAAGAAATGGAGCTGGTCTGTTACGTAGCGCGTCTTCCTTTCCTCCCTCCTTCTTTTTTTTCCAAGGTGAACTTCACAGTAGATCAGATACGGGCCATCATGGACAAAAAGGCCAACATCAGGAACATGTCGGTGATCGCCCACGTTGATCACGGCAAGTCCACCCTGACCGATTCTCTGGTATGCAAAG